CGCCAGCGCGGGTCAGCCAGCGCTGACCCGTGCCCCCTGTGGGTCAGCAGCACGTGTCGCGCAGTTTCGACCCTCAAACGCTTTTTCGATGGTTCTTTTGCTGTTTTCTCAGGATTTGTTCATTTCAGAGCTTCCCAACTGATTGGATATCATCCATAAACGTGGTTAGGCGGTTATTAACTGAAGATAGGGTCAAATCATTCATTCTTATCTAAATACCCCCATCCGGTGCCCTATAAATACAAACCTAGGGTCTCTATTCTACGGAGGTGAATTATTATCAAGTGGGCGAGGTGCTGCTGGATTGAGGAGTCAAATGAGCATAAATTTAGAGTGAAGGCAAGTCAGATCCTAACGAACTTCAACATAAAGAGGAAGGCTTTCGAAGAATCTGAACTCGTATTCCCCCCGTCCGTTCCTTAAGATTAGGCTTGGTCTTAATCTCGAAAAGAGCTACTGATTTCGCTTGATCGATCTCAGTGCTTCAAGTGAATATTTCCCTGGTAAAGTAGGAGCTCTGTCAATTTTTCGACAACCGGATCTGATCCGTGGTCGTCCATGGATATTAACATCCCCGACACAGGCGAAGACCCCACGCAAGCAAGAGTTAATAAACAATTCTTGTGTTTATTTTCTAGAAAGTTTTATTCTTTATTTTTTTCTTTGAATTCATTGTAAACGATCAAAGTTGTAATGAACTCGATAATGAAACCACTTTTGATGAAAACAAAGATGTCTTGTAGTCTTGTGAAAAGTATGTGCTCTGTGCTTAGCTTATACAAACCATCTTAATATTAAGTAATTGGTTATATTTTTATGAACATATCAACAATATATTATTCTATTTTTTTCAAACGTAATACAACATTTAATGACTAAGATAAACAAATTAGAGATCGATGATTTTATTTGATAAACAAATATGTTACATGAAGTTTGATATAATTTAAAAAAATAAATATTATGTATACAAGTATATAAAAGTATATTGATTCCAGTTTTACACACAAATCTATTTCATAATTTTTTTTAAAATATTTAAATAAAATTTATGGGAAATGTATTGATCCATATTTATAGATTTTAGCTCAAAATGAATATGACTTATATTATAGTAAGAAAATAAATAGAAATAATAAATAATTTTAATATTTAACCACGTGCCATTGCATGTGCACAAGAACTAGTTTTTTTTAAAATGTTAAACAGAAAAATATTAGTTACTTTCCATTTTCCCCTTGGCTAAAATTATTTAGGAGGTGCAATCCTAAACAGAGAAAAGATATAGAAGGAGAAAGGAAAAGAAATGAAAAGATTCGATTTTGATTCTATCTGGTGTAAAGATTTTTTTTTTAAATGTTACAGATATTAAAATTGGGGTTTTACCCTTTTTTCCTTAGATTTTTCAAGTTGATTAATAGAAAATTTATTTTTCTACCAAAGTTTTTTTTTTTGGCTGGATAGTTATTTTCTAATATATAGACATATATAGAAATTGGGGAAAAAAGGCTGCAAACGAATCAAATAAAATTTATTGACGTATCAATGATTTTTCAAACAATATTATTCTTAAAATACATCTACCTACAGCACGCAATCAATCAAATTTGTTGAAATTTTAATATGGATGAAATCAGTATATCATTCAGAAGGTAGTAGTCTGATCTTAAAATTTGATTTTGATTAAACTATGGAATTTACGAAGATTTTGATTGGATTATGGTATTTACGAAAGATGAGGAATACTTAGTATTATACTTAATTTTGCTTCTAATTTAGGCTATAAATTTTATCCAAAAAAAAAAGAGCTGGCACACAATCCGTCACAAGTTTACGTCAAATCAATTTAATGAGTTGTTTCTCAAAATTTAGTAGCATATGTGCAGCACCTTCCAAATTTAGTGTCTATATATGAGGGTCTCTTCGTTATTCTATTTAACATGTTCTGCAGAGGGAAATTATTCACGAAACGTATAATGAACAATAGCAATATGTTGCATTTCTATAATTTTTTTTAGCAAATAGGGATGTTGCTAAGCTAGTCACGTTGGTTCTTGTGATAGGTTCTAATCTGATATCTGCAGTAATTAAGCACGAGAGGATTCCCTTCAGATGAAAGGCCTGTCGTCAAAACAACAGTGGTTAAGCTGTTGTGCCTTCTTCAGATTTTATTTTGAATACTGTAGTATGTATGTATGTGTGTTATTCTTTTGATGTTTCGCTACTCTATTCCTTGGCAATTTATAAAATTTCAATCAAACAATTATGCTCTTAATAGTATTACTAATAGTATTACACTGTCTCCTGCAGAGGAAAGATGGTGACATTGTTGACTGTATTGTTATATACAGACAACCAGCAGTCGAAAATCCTTTACTAAAAAAATCACGAAATTCAGGTGCTTTTTTTTATGCTTTTCTATATAATTATCCATTTGCTCTTCCAGTGCGGCATTTCTATATAAAATGATTTTCTATTCAATTTTTTTTGTTCCCCAGGTGAAGCCAGCTCAGTATTCAAAAATTGTAATGTCTGCAAATTCTCCCATCCATAAAAAGCGAGGGAAAGAAGTGAAAATTGCAATGTCGAACCAAATCACAAACTTTTCTGTAGGAAGCGTTGGGAATCCTCATAAAGATGTGAGTGGATTCTATTATATTACTGTAACTTTTAAGGTTAAGTGCCAGTACTATCACCCAATTGCTCCTACACACCGTTCAATTCTGTTGTACGAAGCCTTTTATTCAAGAATCATAATCAGACAAAGACATACTACGTGCACGCATAAACATCATGATCTTTATTGGGAAAATAATACACTAGTAAACAAACATGGTAATGACTCAGCCACAGATGAAAGCTAGCTCAGCTACAATATAAAAGCATTACCACAGAGTATGAGCAAGCTAGTAACCGTTTCGATCAGATGTAGCAATCTCATCAGCAAAAGCGCTTAGATTTCGATGAGACGATCCTCCTTCACCGACAGCTTCTAAAGCTCTCTCCTTCCACAGCTCTGATTTCTTCCTAATCCCCATCCCTCTTTCGTTCTGATCTCCCATGACCAAATCCAAGCACCTCCTCAACTCCTCCCCATCCAAAACACCGTCTTCGTTGACCTCACCTCGGACTCCGGTCCCCCACGCTCTCTCCACAAGCATCGCATTCGTCCCCTGGTCCGTCCACTGTGGCACTCCCACTGTCGGCACCCCGAATGCCAGGCTCTCCAACGTCGAATTCCATCCGCAGTGCGTCACGAAACACCCGACTGAAGGATGAGTCAGCACTCGCACTTGCGAGCACCACTCCACCACCATCGCATTCTCCCCCAGCTTGTCCAACTCGACCTCTTCGAGCCTACAATCCTTCCTCACCACCCACAGGTACGGCCTTCCGCTCTCCTTCAACCCTCTCAAAATCTCCTCCATTTGCTGCTTCCTTAGGACGGCTAAGCTCCCGAAGGAGACGTACACAACTGATTTCCTCGGTCAATCAAGTCTATATTGTCGATAGCGGAAAGAGCATCGGGCTCCAACTCGTCAAATGTGTTCACCAGAACCTTCGGCTTCTCCTTGCTCTTCTTGAATTCGCTATCCAATGTCAAGAACGCTTCCTTCACTGTGGTAAAGAGCGCAGAATAGAGATCACCGGAAGTGCTCGGCATAGTCAAGAACGACGGGATGTCGCGGATGCGCATTGGTGGCAGTCCCGGCAATTCCACCGTAAACAAGGGGTCTCTACAGTTGGCAGCTATGAGCTCCCGGTATCCATGGAAACAGTGGTAGTAGATTCCAAAAACAGTGGCCGGCTGGATCCAATAATGGGCCGACGGTATTCCGTGCTCGCGGGCCACGTCTGCGGCCAACGACAGCAAGAAGGTGTAGATCACACAGTCGACGCGTCGCCCACGGGAATCAAGCCTATGGATAATGGACGAGAGGCTCTTTGAGCCAACGTCCTTGAATCGGGAAAAATAATGGTTGTGATCTTCGACTCCATACTTGAAGCCGTCGTCATATCCATCGGAGAAGGGGAAATAGGTCACGGGGCCACCGTCATCTACTTCCTGGTCCCCGGATGTGAGATCGGGGAACATTTTCCGGTGGGCGGAGACGGCCGGGGGTTTATGTGGCCTTGGGCCGGGTAGGTGACTATGAGGAAGTGTTTTCTATGGCTTCCCTCCATTTTTTTCTTTCCTTTTGGTTTCCTCTCTTATTGTGAGTGAGTTGTGATGATTAGTGGGGAAATTTGATTTATATATAGGCGGAGGAGGGAGATTAATGTGACGTCGGTGATGATGTGGAGAACGTAGTCGGAGGACAAATTGGATTTTGTGGTCTCATGAATTCAAAAGCTGCAGGTTCCTTGATGCTCAAACTTTCGAGCGACCATTGAATATTCGGTGAAATAAACTAGCGTGACGACTGCGATGATGGCAATCATTGAGAATGCGTAATGATATCAACTTTCTGTTTCGCATGAAGAAAGCGTCCATGATAGTGACGCTATAAATACAGGGGCGGAGGGATTTGGAGGCCGAGGCGGTATTCGCCTCACCTTGGCAAAATAAATAAATAAATAAAAATAATAAAGGAATAGCAATGAATTGCAATTGCTAAAATGACAGGGGTTAAAATGTAAAGCAGCAGCTAAAAGTTATGTTTGGCATGCGGTCACGTGGCTTTGACATATTTGTTAAATGAATTACTTTGCCTTATAAACTATTATAAAAATTAAGCTAGTCAAGCTCATTTTTCGGTGGCTTATAACTAAGTTACAAGGTGTGACCAAGTAAAAGATTGACACACCCCTCAAGATTTCACAAAATTTCCAGCCAAGATTCTCTTTAGCACTCCATTAAATACTTTATGGTCATTTTGACAACATTGGTGGCTTATAAGTCACCCATTTGCCAAACATTCTATATTAAAAATAGATTATAATCCACCAAATTTATCAGACACTTTTAACTTATGTGTCCACACCTATTTTATAACACATAAAATTCTTATTTTCTTTACAAAGGATTAAACAATAGTGACATAAAATAAAAAAGTATAGCAAATCACAACACATATTTGTATCATTAGAGATATAATTAAATATAATTGAAAAAGGATAATGGTCTAATACGAATTATGAGAGGATCCATTAATATGCTTAAATAATAAATCTTAGATTTTAATTATGATTATGATTAAACATTTATGATAGTGTATAAGCTAAAAATTTTATAGTTAAGTGTACTTTGGTGATAGTAATCCTAGGATGGATGACCTTTTGGGAAGTAATAGTATTGAATGATGATACTCTTTATATTTTTATGATCTAGACACAACTATGTGTCAGCACTCTTGACACATATATGTGTCACGAGTTTTTTTATACATGTATGTGTCACCACTCTCGACATATATATGTGTCATTAGTTTTTTTAACATATTATAACATGTATAGAAAGACGCTCTTGTAGGTGTCTAAAATTGCCTATGAGTTCCCGCACGCAGCTCGAAACGAAGAGTGGACGTCGCCATTTGAGGCAGATAAGGATTATCTAATTGGCCGCCGCCCTCGTCGGTTAGCTCGCGCAAGCCAGTCGACTAGCGCACGTCAGTCAGCTCGCGCACATCAGTAAGCCACAAGTGACCAGACGCGCTTATCAGGTAGCTTCAAGTGACCGGATGTGCTCGCCAGTCAATTTGCGCGTGTCGGTCAACCCCAAGTGGCCGACGCGTTCGTCAGCCAATCCCTCAGTAAAACATACAAGTCAACAAGACAACCAAATACGCAGAACAGTGGAAAATACGAGCCCGAGAAAGTTGGGAAACACCAAAAAGCAAAGAGAGAGAGAGAGACTCGTAACCCATGGAGGCACGGGTCGCCACTGGGTGACCCACGCGCACGCGGGTCACCCATTGGTGACCCGTGGCCACGCGGGTCGGTGACCCGTGCTCACGCAGGTCACCAAGGAGTGACTCGCACCCACGCGGGTCACCAGTGTCTGTCGCGCAGTTCCGAGCCCCAAACGCGTTTTTGACGGTTATTTAAGTGGTTTTCGTAGGATTTATTTGTTCCAGGGGCTCCTAACTGATTTGATATCATCTCTACACGTGGATATGCTGTCATTAACTAAAGATAAGGCCAAATCTCCCATTCTCATCCAAATACCCGCATCCGAGGCCCTATAAATAGAAGCCTAAAGCCTATTCTATAGATCTGGTAATCAAGAGGACGAGGTGCTGTCAAATTGGAGAGTGGAGCACAAATTTCAGAGAATTAGCAGATCATAGCGAAGTTCCTCAATAAAAAAAAGAGTTCGAGAGATCTGAGATTTGTTTTCCCCTATTCCTCCGGATTTAAGCTTGGTCTTAATCTCGAGAAGAGCCGTAATCTCGCTTGGTCGAGATTACCGCTGCAGTGATTACTTCCTTCGTGAAGTAAGAGCATTGATTATCAATCTTATGCTAACCAGATCTGATCAGTAGGAGGTTCACGGATAAACCCCGACACCGGCAACGATCCCGCACAAGCAATAGGCGATAAACATATATTGTGTGTAGTTTGAAAGAAAGTTGTAATTGTTGATTAAAAATCTTATAAAAAGGCTATTTTCTTGGGTTTATTGTAAACGTTTAAAGTTGTAATGAACTTATCAATGAAATCGACTTTCCACCCAAACACGCTGGCAACCATAGTGGGAGCCAACAGTCTTTCTGCAAAGGCTGATGTGTCGCAACCTCGGATCCTCATCCCAGTTGAAGAAGAGGTCTAATATGAGTTCGACCAGCAGAAGTATGAGGAATACTTGTCCTCCTCCTCCAGATCCGCCTCTCCTCGCAGGTGAAGGAAGGCCTCCTCCAAGAAAGTTCGCTAGACTTTGGGTTCAAAGATCCAAGAAGAAGATCTCCTCACCGCTGCTGCACTTGAGCCTCGCACCCCCCCCCCAGCCTCTAACGAGGCTGTAGCTACAAATCTGGACCCTTCCTCCATCAAGGAGTCAATTGCTGAAGGCGCGCCAACTCTATCAAAGAGGGTACGCCAAAGGCAATGCCAACGACTTGCACACCAACTTGCTAAGGCTTTAGAGCCAGTTGATGGGATTCTCTACGAAGTGGATCTGAAGTCCACTAGGCACCAACCGCCACAACAGCGGGCGAACAATCCCTCCTCCGAACCAACGAAGAATGAATGGATTCGCGTTAAAAGGACCCGCTCGACTCTTCAGGAGCGAATTCAGAAATGCCACGCATTGCTTGTGCATGTAAGAATCCTTGTACAAGAAGCCAAAAAATTGCAGAAGGAAGAAGTGAAAAAGAATTCACTAAGACTGCACAAAGTATGGAGGCCAAAGTCCAAGATGACAGCTGAAAAAAATCAAAAAATACGGGACACACCCAGGAGACCCTTTGACCGCGTGTCACTCAACTCTGACCTGCCCAGCCGCGGGTCACTCAAGTTCCCCCCCCCCAGCCGCGGGTCACCAAGGTATGATCCGCGCCAGGGTCAAGACAAGAAATATTCTGCACCTATTTTTCTGATTCCATCGAGTTCCACCTCTACTTTAATTGATTCCGCACCTCCGATGGAGTCCCGCTACAATGTGGATTTGTCTCGATTTAAGATAAAGATCACAGATCGCCTTAGTCCTTCACACGATGATCAAGGTAAAGCTCCAGTCAAAGAGAGCGTACTCGTTTGACGATGACGTTATACCTGGGGAGTCGTGCCAACACACGATGGGTTGCTCTGATCATTAGATCGATGAGTTATACTATCGGGCTGGGGGTAAGAACAAGTCCCGAAAAAAGAGTATCTGAGAAACGGACTCTCATTGCCCGTGTGCTAAGATTATTAAGGCGGTACTGTCAAAATGTTTCTGCCCCAAGACTCCCCCGGAGACAGTTTCAGTGTTTGAAAGGATCTCCACTGGAACATCCAACTCCAAGCCAAGGCGTTTCCGTAGGAAGAAATTAGCCGCTCAGGACGATGAATTTCCAGAAGTGTGCGTCAACATGACCGGTAAGGGGAGGTCAATGCGACACTTTAGTCCAAACCAGTTTTTGGCAATATCCTAGCGTATGACCCGATTGCGATCGGGAACTGTAAAACCCCGTAAAATACAATGAATGAGTTTTCATTTTGAAATATATGCTTATATCATAGATGAATGTGATAGCAAGTGTTTGGGGGATCAAACAAGTTTATTTATGTGAGAGAGAACAAGTGTAAGGCCAGCACACAAACAAACATGCACAAACATGATTTTTCTTGTCCGGTCGACCGTAGAGGTCGACCGCGCATCGGCCAGACAGTTTTTCCCAGTTCGGGTTGTATTGGGTTTTGGGTTGGTTTTTTGGGTTTATATATATATTATTATATCCGGGAGACCCTCTTCTTCATCAACCCAAATCCTAGAAGCCTCCTCCTCCCCCCTCTTACAAACCCTAACCCCTTCTCCTTGGCATTTTCGATGGATTTTGGGGAGTTTGAGCGAGATCCGGCTGTTTGCAGCGAAGGAGGACTTGGTACAGTGTTGTTTAGAGTTGTTCATCACCCTCTCAGGCGAGTATCATCTCGCCCAATCCTGTACCTATGTGTTTAAACATTTTTAATAATGCTTTTATGAGTTTTGTGAGCCTAACATGCTAGTTTATGTATAAAAATATATCTTTATATTGTATATTGCAAAAAGGACGAGTTTTTAGTTAATAAAGATCACCCACGAATTTCTTAATATTGATCTAGATCTGAAATTTTATTCGAACAAGAGTTTTGAAAGAAAAATAATTGCTTTCGAAGGTTTCAATATGAATATGTATGTTTAAACATGTTTCGCTTTGTTTATAGTGATTAGACTGTTTCTCGCATGTTTCTAGATATGATAAATCATGTATATAAGGATGATTGTATTTATAAACGTCACACACAAATTTTTAAATCAAACCCCTATAGAACAGAAACCTGAAAAAAGGTTTCTACTTCTACGCGGTCGACCGTGGTGATGCGGCGGTCGACCATGTAACGTGCATAGAAATAGTAAGTTTCCTGCTTCAGTCGCAGTCGACCAGTGGGGATTTTTCTGTGTTGTCATGTTGTGCATAAGTTTGTGTGGCTGATGAGATATCTAGGTTATATGGGTTTGTTATACACTGAGATTTGTGTACATGAGTTGACTACGGACATGAGTCTTAGATTTATTCACCGGAACATGAGGGTGAACAATATATTGTTGTTTCTGATACTATTTGCATGTTACAGTCCTCGTGTTGGACTATAAACTATCAAAGTCCTCGTGTTGGACTATAATCTATTGAAGTCCTTGTGTTGGACTATAAACTATCAAAGTTATCATGTTGGACTATAATCTATTGAAGTCCTAGTGTTGGACTATAAGCTATCAAAGTCCTTGTGTTGGACTATAATCCACTACAGTCCTCGTGTTGGACTTTAAGCTATTGCAGATCATGTATTAGACATTTACTTATTGCAGACCATGAGTTGGGCATGTATTTAACATATGATAGGTCATTGACATTATGGATGGAGATGGAGTTATTGTTCCATGTTATAGCTTTTGGATTTGGTATTTAGCTATTTACAATTTGAGCTACGGGAGACGTACGTATGCTCGTGTTGTAAATGTCCTTGTGTTGGACTATAAT